CCCCCCGATTAAAAACCGAGTAGACGTCACTGTGTTTGCTACAAGGTGCTGCGAGGTAGGCTGCGGAACTGGGTGACACGAATTAATTCAGCACGATCCCCACTCCAGCTTAACAACTTTTTTTTTTGGATTTTTCTTTTTTATACCCTACCTAAGCCACTCCCCGCCCTTTTTTTGTTTTTGTACTCTTCAAGTCCAGCGCCACACGGTTCCTACGACGTTGCGTTTAATCGGTGTAAATAAATTCGGGATAGGCAAAGCAGCGGCATCCCGGGCCTTGATTACACTCGCGGCTGGTTACGTGAATTCTCCACGGCACCGACAGCAATGCGAATCTCAAACAGTGTTCGGTGGTTGGCCATAAAGTGCCCATTAGGAAATATCTCTTGCTGGACGCGGTCGATTTAACGAGCTGGAAGCGGCGCTGATTTAACGAGCTCATCAGGCGAGCCTCGATAAGAGAAAATCGTGCTCGGACGTGAAGAACCGCGTTTTATGAATTATACGTGGTAATCGATCGAGATTATTCATCCATTGCAAGAAAAGGGTTCCCTCCGTTTCGTAAGATAAATAAATAAATGATAATTGTACAAGGTATAAACTGACGTTATCCCCGTTAAATTATAATTCATATTAAAATTGTTATAATTCATGAGACGCAATTTTTGTCGGTGCGCGATTAATTCTATCGAGAAAATTACGCTTCGTCGACGCAGCCTTGTGAATTTTCTTATAAATTGTGAAATTTCAATTTTAACATAAACGAATGCTTAATTACACCGTGCATTCTATGGTCATCCTGCCGACATTTGATGAATTCCTCTGCTGCATCAGCTCGGTAGCTCAACTGGTAGCCACTTTACGGACGAGCATCCGGCACTCTAACGAGGATTGCGTTTTACAGAGCCGCGTAAAGTCTTGCCCATCCTCAAGACCGACGAACCCGTTTGCCCAGAAGGGAAATTATCGTGCGGTAACGGCGAGTGCGTCGACAAGGAGCTCTTCTGTAATGGCAAGCCTGACTGCAAGGACGAATCCGACGAGAACGCCTGCAGTGAGTGTCGCAACGTATTACACTCGCTTTTACTAAGATCGAGTGACGGATAACGCGAACCGATCATAGATTTCGACTAGAAAATTATTGCAAGAGCTGTCGTACTATTAAGATATATCATTATGAAGACATAGTAGTATCCTTATTTGGACAGAATAGAAATAGTCTGTTTTGATAGGCTACGCATAAAAATTAAAGGATCGCTTCGTTCGGCTACGAAAGGTGGACAAAATTTAACGGGCTATAACAGTTAAATATAATGCCAATGAAATGCTTCGAAAATTCTCACTCTTGTACTTTCTAAATTTTTTAATTCTTAGTTTTAAAATCTCTAATTTTCAAATATTTTACAGAATATATAATGTAATTATTTTTTACCGTGTTACATAAATGTACATCGAAATACGTAAAACGTCAAAATGTTCGATGAAATTTGTTGACTCATACCGCGTGAACAAAAAGTCTTAGACAACTGACGTTTGCATTGCTTGAAAATACGGATCTTTCTCTTTGATTTGCATGCCGACAGATTGCGATATGGTATTTTTTTTACCAAGTTATTCAACGTTGAAGTAAAATGAATGTCATTTTTGCTTTGATCGCTTATAGAAGGTGAACGCAACGGCGTACGACATTCGATTACAAACGAATAGAAAACTTAAAGTTCGTTCTTTAAAATTAATCTATTCTCCATTTGATACGAATAATTCTTCGAAGTCAAGATTCGACTAAAAGTTGACGTTAAAAATTGAACGGTCATCATGTTTCATCTAAATTGACACATCTCGGCGAAAAACAATAGAAATATTATGATCTTTACATATTTAAAAATTAGAAACTCCAAATTTTAGAATATTTCTTGAACCATCTTATTATCATTATTTTTTCTGGAGTTATTTACTGTTGAACTTTGTCTACATCTCAGGATAGAGTAAAAGGACGCCTGACCCATTGTTGAATTATACTACTATCTCAATTCGTCGTTGTGACAAGTGGCGCCTCATAACGGAGACAGCGGAACTAAATTGAGCGCAAATAACGGGTCTAATAATGCCTTAGACCTTTTATTTTTGCTAGTTGTAAATTAGTTCCAAAGTCTCTGTTACGAACCGCCATTTTCCTTAAATGAAGAAATGAAGAAAGTCGTGGTTGTACAGGTCAACAAAGGAGCAGACTTCCATTTTCAAGTACTATTCGACGGCGGGTCAAATGTTCTTTATTTTAACCCGAAAAACAGACAAAATTTAACACAGTAATTTCGATAAAAGTAATGATAAAATGGTGCAAGAGGCATTTTAAAGTTTAAATATTTTTTAAACATGTAAAAATCATAATAATTCTATCGTTTTTCGCCAAGATATGTCAAATGCAAAGTGACGGCCGTTTGATGTTCAACCTCATCTTTCATTCGAGTTTTCATCAAAAATAATTAAATCAAAACCGCGTGAAATGCATTTGAAAAGGTGAACTTTCAACTTTTTATTCGTTTCTTAACGAATGTCGTCATATTGATTTGCTCGCCTTCTGTGAACGATCAAAGCAAAAAGGATGTTTTTAACTTCAATAACAACACGACAGACAAAGATTCTACCGCAATCTGCGGAATTGCGAAACGCAACGGGGCAACGGTTAGCCAACCGACTAACTTTTGCTAATCGGGAATGCTTTCTCAGCTACTCAACGTCAGCGTTATTTTTACGAACGTTACAGCCTGTTGAATTTTGCCCGTCTCTTTCACGGTCGAGAAAAAACGATCTTCCAGTGAGTTCCAACGTCTTCCTGACGTGCCGAACAGCCAAGTGGCAACGGTCTTGCTTCTATTGAAAAGTAGAATCTGAGAATAATGCAAATGCGTTACAGCCGTGGAGACCGATCCCAATCGCGCTCCGGATTGCGACCCTACGCAGTGCGTCCTGCCCGACTGTTACTGCTCGGCGGACGGCACCCGTATCCCCGGCAACATCGACCCTCAGCAGGTGCCGCAGATGATCACGATCACCTTCAACGGCGCCGTCAACGTGGACAACATCGACCTGTACGAGGAGATCTTCAACGGGCAGCGGCAGAACCCTAACGGCTGCCAGATCCGCGGCACCTTCTTCGTCTCCCACAAGTACACCAACTATTCGGCCGTGCAGGATCTTCACCGTCGCGGCCACGAGATCGCGGTGTTCTCCTTGACGCACAAGGACGACCCGCAATATTGGACTCAGGGCACGTACGACGACTGGCTGGCGGAGATGGCCGGCGCGCGTCTCATCATCGAGCGCTTCGCCAACATCACCGACGGCTCCATCATCGGCATGCGCGCCCCGTATCTCAGGGTCGGCGGCAACAAGCAATTCGAGATGATGGCCGACCAGTTCTTCGTGTACGACGCCTCGATCACGGCCTCGCTCGGCCGAGTGCCCATCTGGCCGTACACCCTGTACTTCAGGATGCCGCACAAGTGCAACGGCAACGGCGGCAACTGCCCGTCCAGGTCGCATCCGGTCTGGGAGATGGTGATGAACGAGCTGGACCGCAGAGACGACCCCACCTTCGACGAGTCCCTGCCGGGTTGCCACATGGTCGACTCGTGCTCCAACATTCAAACCGGCGAGCAGTTCGCTCGTCTGCTCAGGCACAACTTCAACAGGCACTTCAACAGCAACCGCGCGCCGCTCGGCCTGCACTTCCACGCGTCTTGGCTCAAGAGCAAGAAGGAATATCGGGAGGAGCTCATCAAGTTCATCGAGGAGATGATTGCCAGAAGCGACGTGTACTTCGTCACGATGGTTCAGGTGAGAAAGAGATTCTTGAACTCTCGGTAACTTCCTTGGGTGACCGTGTCATATCCACGCGTACTGCTGTAAGTTGTTAAAAAAAAGCGAATTAATTGCACCTGCAAAACGGGCTGGTCAGCGCACCCCCTTCACGCTTCTTCCTCTCTCTGCCGTCAGGTGATCAAGTGGATGCAGCAGCCTACCGAGCTCTCCGCGCTCAGGGACTTCCAGGACTGGAAGGAGACCTGCGACGAGAAGGGTCTTCCGTACTGCTCGCTGCCGAACGCCTGTCCGCTGACCACCAGGGAGCTGCCGGGCGAGACCCTGCGTCTCTTCACCTGCATGGAGTGTCCCAACAACTACCCGTGGCTGTTGGACCCGACCGGCGACGGTTTCTCGGTGAAGAAGTGATCGGACGTCCGCGAGACGAGGGATGACGCCGAGTTTCTCCGACGAGCGCGGGAGCGGAGATCGCGGGAAGACATCGGAGAAAGCAATCGGCGCCGGTCGTCTTATCGCAATTAGAAAGCGTCACCTCGGCTGGGTCGCGCGACTCAAGTGGAGCCCGCACCGCGGTCCGTCTTCCGCTTTCCAAGGGAAACGCCGCGCCCGGTTTCTCTCGAGGCCGACTCCTCGGCTCGACTATTATTATTTATGCAGATTAGGATCGGTGAACGCGCCGATCCGCGAGGATGGTCGATTTCACGGGGAAAACGCGCGAAACGGGCGCCCGTTCCCGGACGTTCCCGAAAGCTCCCCCGGCGAGAGACCGACGACGAGTCCAGAGGAGACGAGTCCCACTTGTACATAACCACCGGATCCTTGCCCTCCTGATCCTCGTTGCTTCCCTCGCGCGCCGACGAAGCGAGGGACCGAGAAAGGCCGAGCACACACACACCATCCCCGCGCCACTATACGCATGTTTACTCATTTAGAATTGAATTAAGCGACGCAAGAGAGAGAGTCTACGTAAGTGTAATTTCCTAGTATCCTTTAAATGTTTCTCAATAAAAATCACGTGCGTACGCGCACACACACGCACGCACGCACGCACACACAAGAAGCAGATCGGTGGATTCGAACGCGTCGACCCCTTTCGCGAATATTCCCCTCTTCTTCGCGCCTTTTCCTCGTCGTGGAAAGCTGCCACGGGGCGGATCGTAAAATGTCAGTGCCGACCCGAGGGCCCCCTTTCGATATCGGACAACATTCCATCGGCAGCTCGTGGCTGCCGAATAATCGTGCGCGTCAGCAAGCATTCCGCGTACGTTCGACACACGCTGCGTCATACATGCCTTACCATCCTTAAGCAGAGTTGCACGATTCTCAGCGTGAAAAATGTACGGTCGGCGTAATGTATGGCCGTACCACCGGCATTACCTGGACGAAAAATTACGCGATTTTCAGCCTTATATTTAATCCGTAAGAAACTCCGGTTGTAACGGTAAAGTGTAACATGACGCAATGGTGAGTCACAAGAAGGTTGCAAAACTTGTCTTTTTTTTTAACAAGTCTCGGAACGCATTCCGTATTCCAATAAGAGAGTCTATTTCTTTAGCAATTCTCGGGAGATATATTTTCCTATTGGATACGAGATACACGTTGCGAAACTCATCGAAATGTTTGAATTCTTTCATACGTAATACGTACAGCCGATTTCATTGTTTCCTCTCCATTGTTCTCACTCTCGGCGCGCCTGCTTAACGAACTACGAAAATTCAACGAAAGGTAGAGATACGTCGATTAACGACGTTACCTGTTTACGTATATCATCAATCGAGTGTGGTCGACGCTTAAAAATCTGTTTTATTTCTCCGGAAGGTCTCCAAGTTACTCACGGTAATCCGTACACATGCACGCACACAACGATTTGATTAAATTTCGATACTTGCATTCGGAACGAATTCGCGTTAGGGGCGTATGTAAAACAAGCGCATTCGCGCGATAAAACCCAAGTATAAGAGAGTTTGGAGAAAGCGTCGTCTTATATAAATAAAATTCGCGAGCTCGATCCGCAAGACGTAGCGTCAATTATTGCTAACCGTACAGCGAGTCAATCGACACGAATATCTCATTCGTCGTTTGTCCTATTTTGTGGGGAGAATAGTCAGAAGCACGTGTAACGTGTGTAATGTGTGGTAGAAACGAACGTAGAAATTCGCCGATACATCAATGCAATCAACGTGTTACAGACTAATGTGTCACAGGAGCCCGTCTGTGGTACATGCAAGGGAGAAGAGGGCGCGCGATCGTACGGTCGGCACGAGAAGCGTCTCGATTTACCGCCGTAACGAAAGAAAAAAAAAAAAGCTACTTGAGCATATCCGTTATTCAAACGGAAGACAGCGCGTAAACGCGCCGTGCTAAATTCAACTTCTCTCGCAACGCTAAAAATTCGCAGCACACAAATCTATGTACATCAATGTGCTAAGATACTGCGGCCCCAACCAGCTGGAAGCAACTCCGGTGCGACGTAAGTTCCATTTATCACAGTAGCACCTCGACCGACGAGTCGTCGAGTCGCCTAAATTGCACATCGCGGGGAGCCAAACCGCGAAGCCGTTCGCGATTCCGACCGACCGAAAGCGCCATTTATCATCCACCGAGACTCTTTCCCATTACAGATCTTTTCTCCGGAATCGGCCCATCGTGACTGCACGACGGAACGAACGGCGATCTCGTGGCAACGCGAGATCACCGTTAATAGTACTTCGATTATTTCGGGCATCCGTAATAAGAAAATCAATGAAAAATATAATCATCATGATGGAAAGTCCCGTCAAACAGTTCCAGGATAGACACCCCCTCCCCGCTTCCCCCCCGAGAGTTGTGCCTGTGTACAACAACGAATTCAGCTATTGTTCGATAACGAGTGGTCGAGAGCAGTAAACGACCCGAGAATGCTATTAGCCTTGACGATAGCGCAATTAAGTGCATTCTTCTGTATCGCAAACTAATTACCGTACACTCGGTTGCACACACACACACACACACACACATACACACACGCCCGGTCGAGACTCATTTTTTTCTAATGACGCTGGGAACGCGCCGAGTTGTCACAATTGCTTTGCAGGGACCGGCCGTGACAGGAGTGGAATAAACGGTGCAGATATTAAACCCGTTGTTATATTCTAATCTGATAGGAAAGAATACAATAAATAAACTTGCGTTTCTTCGGAATGATCCGTCGCGACGACAAACGTCTCGCGCGTCACTTCCGCTCCTGACGCGGCACAATTGTGACAAGTTCGAGCGGTACGGAAACGTTCGTCAGAGAAAACTGTGCCCGAATCGGTCCGTCCGATCGCTTTGTACGCGCGTTCCAACGAAAGATGCCGCGCATCCGCTCCTTACGTCTGCGTAATTTATCCTGCGTGACGAGAAGCTCTCGAGCGGAGAGACACCGTGCTCGGTACGAGTGGATCGTGCGTTGAACGTCGCGTTTGCATTTCAATCGGTACGATTATTAGGAGGCGCAACGTAACCGGGAGAAGGCGGCGTCCTGCCTCATTGCCTCGGTCGCACATTTCATGGGTCATATACCCAGGTAGCTGCAGAGAACGAACGCTCCGCAAATACATAAGGCTATCAGTATGATGACAAACCAGAACGGCAGTGTGTCTGAAACAAGCAAGAGTTCCCTTATCTTATCAACTCTCCCCGAAAGTTCTCACCTCTTTGAAGTCGTCCTTTCAAAAGTGATTTAGCGTACAGACACAAAGTTATAATAGTAACACTATCGCGTAACAATATGTAACAATCAATTGATATATTATAATGATAAAGTATGACAGATTAATGAATTAATCGTACGATAATATATCTACCGATTGTATTTACGAGTTTGATTTTCCTTCTCCAAACACATTTCCGAGTTACCAACCTCTACATTCGCGTCAAGCTAAAGCTACTACTTTCCCAGCGCGACGTCTGAAATATTTCGAGCGGTGTGTTGATTTGAAATAATGCACTCACGTCTGAACGGTATGCTGTGTATACAAATCCTGTTGTCCACGGAGATGCTGACGACCGCGGTCTCTGTGTTGCTCGTAATCGCAGGGCCATCCAGACTCGTCGGCAAGAATTCCAGACCGGTCACGAACATACTGTGCGCCCCTGGCACGTGAAGCGCCTTCCTCAGGCTGAACGCCACGAATATGTCGACGCTGCCCGAGAACATCGTGCCGACCGCCACGAAATGGCCGTCATCGGACACCGCCAGAGCCGACAGCGTTTCCTTGTAGGAAGCGGATTTCACGATAGCACCGGTGTTAGCGTCCCACAGCTGAAGGTAACTAAGATTCTTCGCCGTGGTGGCGTTAGAGAGCATAAAAAGATCGGTCCTCGTTTTGTCCTCCGCCAATTTCCGGAAACGACATCTCTTGTACATGTATTTCGCACCGTTCGCTGGTGTCCAAGTGAGCTCCTTGTCTCTCGCGCCGTCTTTCACGCTCCACAGGAAAGCCTTGCCGTCTTTCGCGATGCTGACCAATAAACTACTGTCCGGACTAAAGTCTATGTCGTCTATCTCATTCCCGTGCGCATCGAGATCGTACAGTTTGTGTAATTGCGGGAACTTCCATAATCTCACTTTACCGTCTGTGCTACCCGTGGCCATGATTCTCCCGTGTAGGCTCACTCTGACGACTCTTTGCAGAGGCTCACCGTTGCTGCAAGCGAAGGGAACGTTAAGGAAGAAATCAATGAGACGCTTTACGACGTAACAAATGCAATCAATGAAAACTACCCAAAAGCCGTCTGCACGCTATCAGCAGGCTTAAGTATCAACTGCAACTTCTTGCTCTTCACGTTAGAATTATCGTCCTTGACCTCTTCCGACCTCTCCTTTTGCGACTGGACTTCCTCCACTCTTTCGCTATTTCTCCTATGTCTGAGACCATCCTTGTTCGCTGCCGGTGCCACCGGACCCTTGATCAACTCTCCATTCTCCGAGGTCACTACCTTGGAGTTTACATTGTACAGCTGACAATGACTCTCCTGACCAGCAACTATCCACGTCTTCTTGCCATTGTTGTGCGAGGCACAGTTCATAACCACACTGGGACCAGTCTCGTGCCTGGTCACTTCTTCGGCAATGAAATGAGCCCCGTTGTGCGACAATTCAAAGATTTCCTTTAACACAAACAAGTACGGTTAGTATAAATTTCACACATTTCATACTTAATTAAATATATTTATCACGATATCTTATCAGCATCAGATATGAGAAAAATGTGTAGAAAACGTATCCGATAATAGGCTCCGAATAAGAATGTGCAAGGAGCGCAGGAAGCAAACCATTCGCAACATCAAACTCACAAATCCATTGGCAACTCCAGTCTTGGAGGAACCTCCACCGCCTCCGACCAGGATGTGCCTACTGGTCAGCATCTGTAGGGTGTATAACGGGAAATTCACCCTGGCCAGGAGGCCACCTTTGCTCCTTCTGGAGGGCATGACGTATCTCCAGTCGTTCGATCGCGTGTCTCAATTTCGCCTCGTTGGGACAATCAAGAATAAAAATCCCGCAGGATCAACAGTGGTACGGCTATCAGCACTGTCCGGGATTCCACGTGTCACGTCCGCGTTCCATCGCCTCGTTCAATCGACTGCCGTCATATGCGACGGCCTTCGGACACGCAACTCGCACGCGCCGAGTGCACGAAGTGACAATTCGTGAACTTTGCACGGCGCGCAATCAAAGTATACGAGTATTCGGCTGACGTACGATTGAGCGCTCCGTTACGAGGTCTCGCTACTGCAGTGTTCCTACGTTCGGCGCATCGGGGCGGGGGGGGAGGGGTCTATTTTTCATAAACGCTAGTTACCGCATCGCGCTATCTGCACTTTCCACGTGTAAAGTCGAGCGCGACATTCCGAAAAAGAGGTCTGTTCCTCCCACTTTCTGCACCTTTGCGCCGTTGCACTTGGAGCGCAGAGAAGCGCGAGTAAATAAAATACGGAGAAAGTGCAGATGCAAGTTAAAGAACCAACGGGACATTTAAAAATGTCGGAAAATCGCAATTGAACCGGCGCTAGTTTTCTTTTATATCCGAGAGCAAGAGTAATCTTCAGGCTTATCCGGCAACGCAATTTTGCCGCTGAAATGACTACTTGTAATTTCTGTACAATTCGTCTTTAACGCTGACACGTAATTGAAAGTACCGGTAGTCGATACTCTCACTTTACCGATCGAGTACAAATCTCAGGTCTCTCTCGGATGCTCTCGTTGGCGACCAGCTGCAAAATGGCGAGTGCCATAGTGCGTTGTTTTCGGATTCCGGGGAGACAATTGGGTGAGTTTTGGGCATTCGTGCATCATCGGGAATCTCTGTATTGCCGCCCGTTTTTATCCCGCAACGACAAGGTGACGAGCAAGTGTTGGCACGTGTATTCCCCCAGCCACTATTTCATCCGCCACGACATATTCAACGTGACAAGGTTATGTAATTAAATAAATTCACACTTTTTAAAGGTCTCCTCGGATCGGCTGTGAGCAGTCAGCAGCAGCAGAGAACTCTCGCCGATGCTGCTCCCGAAGGAAAGGTGAGACTCTCCCTCAACATTGGACTTCTTCCATTGTCATCTTGGTTGCAGTCCTCTCTCTTGACTAAGGTCCTCAGACCAATGGGACTGATATTACCCGAGATACCGGATTTTCTGTTCCTGAACTAGGTTTGCGCCGGAACTTTGTTCCTTCCCCCCCTCCTTCAATACTTAGTTATATACTTGCCTGGTTCTGACGGTAAAATATGCAACCTAGTTCAGAAACAGAAAACAGACCGTTGGCCTGTTCTTTTCAGCTGAATTGGCTGCACTAGTTCGACAAATAGACGTACACATTGAAGGGTACATATGGGATTCTCACACTTCAGTATACGCAAATTTCTTGAACTAGTGCAGCCAACTCAGCCGAAAGGATGGATCGCTTGCATTATTGACATCTTTACGTTCTCCTTTCATAGAAACAAGGTTCACCAATGTCCGACCAAGATCGTATCTTCACGAATCTCTACGGCAGACACGACTGGAGGCTGAAGGGTGCTTTGAGCCGTGGCGATTGGTACAAGACTAGGGAGATCTTGGAGAAGGGTGCCGACTGGATCATCAACGAGATCAAGGTTTCCGGGCTGAGAGGCCGCGGTGGTGCTGGTTTCCCTTCCGGCATGAAGTGGTCCTTCATGAACAAGCCGTCGGACGGCAGGCCCAAGTATTTGGTGATCAACGCCGACGAGGGCGAGCCGGGAACTTGTAAGGACCGTGAGATTCTGCGTCACGACCCGCACAAGCTCGTGGAGGGTTGCCTGATCGCCGGTCGCGCCATGGGAGCCTGCGCCGCTTACATCTACATACGCGGCGAGTTTTACAACGAGGCGTCCAACATGCAAGTGGCCATAGCCGAGGCTTATCAGGCCGGTCTGATCGGGAAGAACGCCTGCAATTCCGGCTACGATTTCGACATCTTCGTGCAGCGAGGAGCGGGCGCGTACATCTGCGGCGAGGAGACCGCTCTGATCGAGTCGATAGAGGGCAAGCAAGGCAAGCCAAGGCTGAAGCCGCCGTTCCCGGCGGACGTCGGCTTGTTCGGCTGCCCGACGACCGTCACCAACGTGGAGACAGTAGCAGTGGCGCCTGTACGGCAGCCGATGGCTTTCCAAGTAAATCTCGCGATGAATTTTCTCTCTGTTAACTGAACAATGTCGTACTTGCAGACGATCTGCCGGCGAAGCGGAGCGTGGTTCGCCTCATTCGGACGGCCGCGCAATCAGGGCACGAAACTTTTCAATATCTCCGGTCACGTGAACAATCCGTGCACCGTGGAGGAGGAAATGTCCATCCCGCTGAAGGAGCTGATCGAGAGGCACGCGGGCGGTGTGATCGGCGGATGGGACAATTTGCTGGGCGTCATTCCCGGAGGCTCTTCCACCCCCGTAATTCCCAAGAGGTAACCGACCGGTCTCGAGCGACGATCTCACTCGCCGAGAGTCACGATGAAAATGTGTCTTGCGTAGCGTATGCGATACCGTGTTGATGGACTTCGATGACCTCATCCGAGTGCAGAGCGCGTTCGGCACGGCCGCGGTGATCGTGATGAACAAACAAACGGACATAATCAAGGCCATCACCCGTCTGATAAGCTTCTACAAGCACGAGTCTTGCGGTCAATGCACGCCTTGCCGCGAGGGTATCAGCTGGATGTACAAGATACTCAAGAGGTAGGCAAATTTGTTACATCGATTCACCCCTCTCTCTCGACGGTTTTATCACCGCGATATCATCCTCGCAGGTTCGCGGATGGTAACGCCGAGGTGCACGAGATAGACATGCTGTGGGAACTGACGAAGCAGATCGAGCTGCACACGATCTGCGCGCTGGCGGACGGCGCCGCGTGGCCGGTGCAGGGTCTGATCAGACACTTCAGGCCGGAGATCGAGGCTCGCATGAAGCAGCAGAAGCAAGCCGCGTCCGGCTGAAAAATCCTACGAGAAGTAGAAACGGAGACTAGATAGGTATAATCGCAGAGAAAGAGACGACACACTAGAGGGCGGTCCCTGTAAGATTTTATATTTATTCTCGCTGTATATATAAATGAACATAGTCGCGATTCTCATGTAACAGTGTCCTTCGAGCCCGGCGCAACGTCCGCCGGCGGTTCGACCTTAATAAAATCAACGTAAGAAGAGAACTCGGGCATATTTGTGCACATATATACATAGATGTATGTATGTAGATTGCGCGCTTAAATATATTCCTTGGAAGGGTGGAAACGAAAATTAGATCGAGTAACACGCGTTCACGGAGGAGAGCAAGTTCGGCGAAATCTCGCGTAGTCGATGCAGTGAATCGTTGCCGGGGACCAGTGATCATTTCCGTGGCGCGTTAATCGCTGGAAAATCGATACATCGGGTCTGTTCTATTCCTCTCGCGGATCCCACGAGAGCGATCCACTTTATTCGCCGACGCGAGAATGTACAACGCGCCGACGGGTTCTTGGGAAAATACACGCTGCCGGAGAGAAACGACGCGGATCGTACGCAACGGGATACGAGAAAATTGGATTTTACCTTTCGAGTGTTGGCCGAACTTACTTAGAGCCAAGATCAATATTCACCTTCCGCGCAGCAGTCCGATGCAGATAGCCGCGCGCATCTAGTATCACTCGTACGGCTTATGTGGAAATTATATCTGCTGCTGTTGCCGCAAGACGCCACCTGAGGTATACGCTTAATGGCGTTCGACGCTGTATTATGCAGAATGGAGCGGCGGAATAAACGATATCGAGTGGAAAATATTTTTGCCGAACGCACCTCGGCGGAAATGAAGTGAAGCGAGCCGCCTCTGTCCATGAATCATGCATGCGATCGCCGGGTATTTACGTTCGAACGAAACGCCGACGTTTCCGCCGGCCGGGCGGGACGGTGATGGTGCTCCGTGAAAATATCTGCCGCCAGTTTTTATATCGAACGATACTTTGCATTTATTCGTTCATTATACAAGAGAATTCACTAGCGACTAACGTTCCGCCGACTACGGTACAGATAATGATGTGGTTTTATATACGGTACAATGTGCGTATACAATATATACAAAAGCACACACACTCGTTCCCACAGACCGATATCTCTCCTCTCTCTCTCTCTCTCTCTCTCTCTCTCTCGCTCTCTCATTCACTCACTTTCTAAGCGTCATTAAAATCGCAACTGTCTTTTTCGCCGGTTTCGAAATTACCATATTTCTTTTTTGCCTTTTTTTTTATTTAATTACTTAAATAATAGATTTAAGCTAGCCGTTACGTTCGGAACAGCTCACTGACGGAGGCCGAGCTGTCCCGGTTGAGTTAGTAAGCGCACACACTGTCTTTTATGATAGGTCCGTTTTGTTATCTCTCTCTTTTCTCTCTCCCTCCCCCATGTCCCTTCTTCCTTCTCTTCCTATGTATACACATACACACATATATATATATATATATATATCCGCCAAACCCATTTTCTTTCATCGCACGTCGCCCTTATTACGTTCTCCCTTATTTCCGCTTTCCCGTATTAACGATTCTCGCGGGCAGTGATGGCAAGATTGGTTTGTCCCGAGTGCTCGCAGGTGCTCGTGCTCTAGATCGCTCTAGATTGAAAAAATATCTAGTACTAACGTGTCATGTTCCTCGAACGTTTTTTAGGCACTAACGTATTTTCCTTTCTCTCTGCGTAGACGCGCTGCGGTCAATTTATTAAGCCTCAATACGCGCGTTAATATTTAATTAATACGCAACTGCGTCTCTCTCTCTCTCTCTCTCTCTCTCTCTGCGGCCTATATTTTGATCCCGTGTGGAGAATCTTTCTATATTAAAAAGATATCTATCTGCGATCTATGGTAATAACTACACGCCAGCCAGACCCGAAAGCAGCTGTCGTACTAGATTTTCACGCGCTCGCTCTAAATCAGAGATTGTGGAGAAACTCCTATTCTAAAAATATATATATATTTATATATATGTATATTCGGCAAACTCAACCGCGTATGCATCTTCAATATAAATCGACAGCTTGTTGCGGCAGTACGAACTTAAACTTACGCTCTCGTCAATACATACTTGTGTTATCGCGGTGTACACACGCGACGATGAGATCGCGAATCAATAGCACTCGTCGGTAGGAAAAAATCACCCCTGAGCGAACATCCAGACACGTCGCGCGTAAGTTGGCCCCGTCAGAAAAGCGAAGTAGAGTCTCACCGTTGGAGGCGCAAGTTGGAAGATAAATGTCGTCGTCATCGTCGTCGCTTCCATCCTGGACGACGACGGCGCGAGGGGATTATTGTATCGTATCGCACGTTTCGCCAATCGCGTCTGGATCACTTCCCATCACTGCTCACGACTTAACGAACCGACGCTAAATACAAGCTAAAGACCGCGCGGCGTGTTTTGTTACCCGATTGCCGCGTATCCCGTCCGCTGTTCTCGCGCGTTGTTATCCGCGTGACGCAAAACAGACCTCGCCGTGTGTGTGTGTGTGTGTGTATGTGTGGTGGAGCGGTAGCTAGCTTCTTCAACGTCACGCGAGAGACAAGTGCGCGACGACGGCTTTTGTCGCCTTCGGCGCCGCTAAAGGGTCGTTCGAGCCCCCCGACGAGAATCGAGCGGACGGCTCGCGCAAATCGGTTTCCGCGCGACTCCGTAATAAAATAATGTGGCGCTCTCCTCGCATTTCACTCGCTCGCGATTGTACTTGGTTGCAGAACACCTTGTCGCCGACCGGCCGGCCTGCCACTGAAAAATCAGCCTGGTTGGACAGTTCTCGGCAAACGCGAACCGACGTGTTATACTTTCTCACTCAACGATATAAGTGCGATATAACATGCGTTGTATGTAACATCGTCGAGTGGAAGTTCTAACACGGTCTCCTTCGAACGAAAAGGCGTACGCTCGCCCATTGTCGGTTGGATTCAATTCATTTTTCAGTGTGACCGTGCTCGCTTCTCTCGAGGCCGGCGCGAGAAGAAATGTGCACGATATGATTGAAAGCTCGCTGCTCGCTCGCTCGCTCTTTGGCATGATCATTGGCTGTCGTCCGGCAAGATCACGCTTATTGTTGGAGAGCCCTGCCGCTGGACACGCGCCACCACACTTCCCCTTCCGTATATACATCTGCCATAAAAATAGACGCGCGCTTCTGTCGCGGTTCCCCCACGTCAGTCCCCTACCTGTGCCACGGAGGATACGTCCACCACCTCCACCGTCTCCTCTCTTCCTGGCGGTCGTTTCAAGGAGCTTGTTCTCGAAACCGTGCGAGACTACGCACGTGTGAATGGGAGCGGGTCTTCCTCAATGGAGAATGGTGATCGGCGTGGCATGGGAAACAATGCTGATTACCTTGCGCCCCGATCTCTCGAGGATACGACGATTAGCTGTCGGTCGACGATATCCCGTGGAATCGGACGAGCGCATAGGACGACGCTGAGCAACCGAGAGAAATGCGATGTTAACGTATCCGAGAGTTTCTCTAATAGCGTTATACACGATTAATCCGACGTATCTCTCTCTCTCTCATACACACACATTCTCTCTCTCTCTCTCGACACTTACGGAATCTTTCACAACGATATATTGACGATAAACACTAGTACACGATGATACAAAGTCGCAGGGCTTCGTCGAACTCGCTTTCCGGGGCGCACTGCCGCGCCGCGAGATAAATTTATCTCCTAGTTAGTCCCGACTCTCTTTTTCTCGTCAGGCCCAAGTGCCGGGGCGATTTAATGCCAAAAGCAACACCACCGTCGGATATAATCGATATCACTGATCCGCTCTGCCACCAAAGTCGATTTCCGGGTCGGAGGCTGACGTAAAATCTACCGCGCGAGCGGCAGCATCTCTCGAGATCGCGCCGGTTAAGCGAAACGTGCGCGCAATTTATTCTTAGATAAAGGCGTCCGCGCGCTGGAATTTGGCGAAAAAAAAATAAATCCTCGAGCGTATCCGCCGTGAATCAAAGTGTCCCGCGAGATCCCGCGAAACGTAGGGGGGGGGAGGGTAACAACACGTTTGTTCGCGCGCGTCGGTGACTATACTCGTAGAAATAGAAAAGATCGGCGACTCTCCGCGTTTCTCGTACGTCATAAATCAAGATGAACGATACGATCCATCGGAGCCATCTCCGACGGATGCATCAATCTTCGCGTGTGCTGCGCGAAGGGGAGAAGGGCGTCTCTCGCGCTCCAGTGGCAGTGACTTTTTGACCGACTGCTCATAAAAGCGGCCGGGACTATCGCGTTTTTCAGCAACATTTGTCTCTCGCGCAGCGCTACGGCGATTCGTTGGAGCAAGGAATCGCGCTGGTCTTTCCACCGAGCGAAAGTCAAAGTCACTCGCTCGCGACGCACCGATGAAAGACGAGTCCCGCTAACGTCGTGAAACACAAAGGTATCCACCGGAAGCTGAGACGACGAAGCTCCTGCGCGATTTGTAACGCGCCGACTGCTCGCGCAGGACGAGGCTGCTGTCACAGGCGGGCGAGAAAGGAGTTTGCAGGAACAGCCGTCGCGACGACTCGCACTCGGATTTCACACGCCGCGGCCTAACTGGGTTGCGGCGAGGTGTCGCTCGGGGGTTTACACGGGGGTTGGGAGGGAGGAGCAGCGCGCGATTGAGAAAGCTGGAAGCGCTGCGTGAGCAGCGAGACAAAACTAACAATAACGACGATCTGATTTATTATTTGGCTGCCAGAATCAGGACAGTGCGAGGGTTTAAACGTAAGGATCGGTAACAACGTTGTCTTTTGTCGCTGTGATTAATTCGCGCGGTAGCGTCGTCTCGGTTGATATCTCTCGCGCGAGAAGTCGCCGGCGGCCCGAGAACGGAGGATCCCTGCCAGAACGTACGACGAAACGAGAGCGGACCCGTCTCGCGAGAGCTAACGTGCATTTCTGCCGCGTTGATACGTGTGCGAGCGACCGGCCGCGAATCGTTTCACCGTTCGCTCTACGAACGTCGCGCGATAACGACGCCGGGCGTCGCGCGATAACACCATATATCGTCGCGGCGAGCTGTGCAGAAATGCAAATCGAGCGACGAGATTGTTCCCGCAATCCCATTTCTCTCGGATCGCAGCCCCGAGGAATCCGACGGCCGAGTTGTAGGAGAATGTAACTGTATACTCGTGGTGTGTGTGTCTGTCTGTGAAAATGATCCGTGTATTTGCGTGTATGTGATGGTCAAGATCGCTCGTTGGCGGATGGAAGGCACGGGGTAAGGATATCAAAAGGGGGTTCGAGACTCGGCGACGACGACTCGCCGAGGAATCCGCGCGGATCAGCCTCGATCACGTCGGAACTATCGATCGTCGCCGGTCCAGTCGCTGGCCGCCCACGCCGGCAGCGGCGTCTCGTACTCCCATCCCGGTCCGCAGTAACGCCACGCGTGCAGATACATCACCAGGTCCGAGGGCTTCGGGTCCCTGTACTTAACTTTGCACTCGTAGCAGTGCGGGTCGACGGTGACCTTGTCGTTGGCGAAGCTCGAGTCCGGCGGCTCCGAGCCCGTCTGGGTTCCCACGGTGACTTTCGAGGCTTTCAGCTGCTCCTGCTGCGGCGGCTGCTGCTGCTGCTGCTCGTCTTCGAGCAGACCCGGAGTGGACGACGGTGAAGAGCCGTCCTTGTCGTTGGCGGAGCTCAGCATCCGCTCTTCCATCTCCAGCTTCGGCTTGAACAGACTCATCTCCGAGTCGCCATCCATGCCCAGCCAATTTTCGGCGTTGTGAATACTGATGAGATCCCTCACGAGCTCCTCGTCGGTCTTGCCGATGTTGCCGCCCTTACCCTTGTGCGGGCCGAAGACCACGTGGTTGTAGAGCGGGTCGTTTACCACCGGATAGCCGAGATACTGCAGGTGGACGCGGATCTGATGCATACGTCCGGTTTGCGGCTTGCAGAGCACCACGGACGACTTGCCGTTGTAGCTGAGACGCTTGAAACGGGTGATGCAATCTTTGCCCTTCTCGGAGACCTTGCAGACGCCAATCTTGTAGGAGACGACCTCAATCGGCTCCGAGCAGATCACCTCCTCCTCGGGGAACTCGCCCTCCACTCGACACACGTACTGCTTGTGGACCTGAAACGTGCACACGCATTACCAACGTCGTCCTCGTTGCCGCACGATTCCGGTGAGCCGCGCCGGTTTTTCCCGCAGCAGCAGAATGCGCTTACGCAACCGACCTGTCGATTTCTTATTTGGTGCTCCATCTGCCTCGCCTTCTTCGGCGTCCTGCCGAACAGAAGGATACCGCTGGTGAGTCGATCCAGCCTGTGAATGGTCCTGAGGTTTTTCAAGTTGTACTCCTTCGCCAGGATGAAGACCACGGTGTTGTGCCGGTAGCGGCCGCACGGGTGCACCTGCGACCACAAGCAACGGTTCTCGAACGGTCATCATCAGTTTCACTCTCCTTCCCAAGCCTTATCGCTTGGGTTAGAATTGAATTTTCCGCGGTCTCGCGGAACTTTCGAATCGCGCTATGACCAGCCACGGATCTGCAGGTACAGCCAGCGGCGTCCGCGCGCGTCCGTCAGAACAGCGGCGCAATAACGGCGCACCGACACCGATAATCCGAAATTAATTTCGACGATTAAAGGCCACGGAAATTCCGGAGGCTCGGCTTCGCAACGCCGGCGAACAACGATTTGTCACGCGTGTAAACGCTGCCGCTGACGCGTCCCGCGCGTTCTATTTTCTTTTCATCTTCAAACTAAATACCCAACTACGTAATTAGAACTTTTCCATCATTTATTAACGATAATCTCCCTCCGGGACGTCTTTATCGCCGGAGTTTCTCCGAAGCCGTGTAACAGCGAATCGGCGTCGCGACGAATCGCAATTGCGTAACGTCCCGACGTCCGCACGCGAAAATTAATTCGACCAATCGACTGACCGGAGGTCAGTCCCGGCCTCTTCTCTCGCAAGTAGGCAGGCAGGCAGGCAGGTTAGGCAGGCAGGCAGCCAGACAGGCTAGAAGAGAGGTACTTGAGAAAGCGACCATTAAGTCGCTTATGCGCCGCGCGGGCACTTGTGCATCGGATTATTTTTGCATTAATGCCCGGCGGTCGTTGCGCAAGCTCTTGTTAACGACCCCCGGACGACGCGCCGTGCATTCGATGACATTTGAAGAGAGTGGCCGGCCGGCTCCTCGCCAGCCAACGGAGAGTATACGCGCTGTGTTAATCGCGCGCGAGACCGCCTCCTCTCGTCTCACATCTTCCAGCGAGCGGAATGAGACGGATTTTCGAAATCACCGTCGCGACGTAACCGAACGGCTGTCGAAAGCGCGGGAGGAGGAATGAGAAAGGAGCGACGAGAAAACGAGGAGACAGAAAGAGAGAATGGGGGGGCATCAATCTCGCGGAGTTATCCCGCTTTTCGAAGACTCACGCTTTATCTCCCCAACATGTGTACACTGTTGCGCACTTTAGATTACCGCGGAGCGAAATAATTGACATCGACGCTGTTGAAATAAAGAAGGAAGAGAGAGAAGAAAAAGAAGGGAGGCCACTCGGCTTTCTCCAACCAGAAAGCCTTTTACCTTAACCGTTAGTTACGCCAATGAATCACCGATACCGACGAGAGTCTCCAACGCGCCGGGCTTGGGCGGGATTGCATTACACATGCGCCACGAAACGGTATTCTTGTCCTTTATGCGTTTCCACTAGAGCTCGACCGTCCATGGAGCCCGACATTATCGCAAACGGCAGTAATAGCGCGGAATAAATTGTCCGTGATTTGCGAGCGGGCGTAACGCGCACGATTAACATTTTAATGGTGAGTTTTATTCGCGCGCCCGCGGCCGTTGTTGGTAGTCCGTGCCGTCTCGCGACTTCAAAACGTTTACGCGAATGTTTCCGCGAATTTTCCCTCTCATTTTCCCCCCCCCCTTTTTCCCTCTTTTCCTTCCGTTCATTGTCGCACGTTCATTCCCCCCATCCTCCCCACCTCTCTCTCATTCATCGGGTCCGGAAATGTCAAGAGAGACCCCCACCTCCCGAGGCCGACGCGAGCCGAAACGTTGCATTTTAAAACGGCGAGCTCGTTAAGACCCTTGACATTCGCCTCCGTTAACCGCGCTGTTGGCTGCAGTTCGAAAAACGACTCGTTAGCGGCGATTTAGTCGCGTTTATCGCACTCGCGTCCAAGGAACACACCGGCGAAATCGGAAAGCCGACGCGGTGGTAAAGAAGCGAAAGTCCGCGCTTCGGTGTGTAGTCGGCGCGGTGTATTCATTCCGGGGAAACACTCGGGTATATATTTAGATAAAGCGACGGCGGAACTTCATTAGCGGGGTGCGGGAGAAAAAAGACAAAAGAAACAGGTCCCCGCGGGGACTACTCTCTCTCTCTCACTCTCTCTCTCTCTCTCTAAATTCGACGGTAATGGACTCTAACTTTAGGAGCGTGTTCTAGGAATAAATTTTAATAAAAGCGGTTAGTGCATAAGAACAGCTTCTGGGAGCGCAGCGACGAGGAAGTGCGCGATCTCAAGAGCTGCGAAGCGGTTTGATCGTCCCGAAGAATTGTCATGCGAGGATCACGACGTGAATGTGTGCATGCATATGTGTCTCGGTGAGACAGTACGGCAAACACTGTTTGTTTCTTTTTCTGTTTCTGGCAGTACAGTTCTGGCAGTACACCACTTACAGGGATGGAGGCGGGCTTGTTGACCACGACGACGTCCTCGTCCATGTGTATCACCGTGATCGGCTCCGAGGTGACAGGCACCTCGTGTCTGCAACACACCAATCGCAACCAGCTTAACGTGGCTTTGCTCCGTTTGCACTTACACATCTCGCGCACGTGGACGCAGGCTCATCCGTACGCACGTATTCGTGCGTACGCGCACACATTCGTACACACACATACACATACACATACGCGTCAATTGTGCAGCAGATAGCAGGTAGTTCGTGGGAAGTGCTGTCGATCGACTCGACGCAGCTAACCGGCAATAAAGTCCGACCGATAATTACTGTAACGTCGAGAAACGCCGGCGGCGATCGCCAATTGATAACCCCGCAGTCTCCGCTTATCGGCGCGACTCGGCGCGTTTTAACACCGGACCGGTGAATTTCTCGCTCGTTGCGGTCGAGGGATGCTATCGTGATTCCGATTCACGAAAGCCCGGGTCGATTGCAACATTATCCGACCATAAACGCGCCACGAAAGTCACGCACCGCTCGGCGGTGTTCCCATACAAACGCGCGCAAAAACGGGTCGCGCGAAACACGCTTTTATCTGACGTTGAGGTGAACGGGTTTAATGGCGAAGGACATCGAGAAGAGAGAAAGTGAGGAGACGGCACGCCGATGAGAGAAAAAGAGAGAACTGAAGGAGAGGAGAAAAAAAAGAGGAAAAAAAAGGAAAGAAAGAAAAACAGAGGAAGAAGAAGAAGTGGGTACATGCGCGCGGCGGCTCCAATTATGTGTTCCATCTACCTAATGCATTTCCACTTCACAATACCATGTTCGCACCTACTGTGCGCGCACAGACGTCCTATGCAGTGCATTCTATTCACAAACGATAAGGAGACCTCTACGGACGATAGAGAAAAAGACAGAATAGAGGAGAGAAAAGGATGAGACAGAGAGAGAGAGAGAGAGAAGCCTTCGGCGCGTGGAGATTGAATTTGCGAAATCTTTTTCCGTCACTTTGCAAAGTGCCGCGTTCACGATAAATGACGTTCGCGATGGAAGACAGCCGGGAATATCGGATAAAACACGTGACAAACAGAATTCAATTCGCGAGAGCAAGATGTCCGTGAACTTTGCAAATTGCAACATCACGGAAAGAGGTGTGTGTGCGTGTGTGTACGCAGCGACGCGTTTTCTCGCAGAAACTAATCGCAAATCGATGCATCGTTTATTAGTTCTATTGTCGCGCGAATTGCTTCGCAGCGGATCGACACGGTAGCGCAATAGATCGCGAAAGACGGCATAACGTGGAAATATAGATCGAGGGCACATACTCGCGACGTTCCACGGCTGTACTCGCTCTCTGAAAATGCACCTTCCCGGCGGATAGCAGCACAATTCAATTATCCACAATCTAATTAATGTAACACAGCGACCAAGATCGTTACGTCTGTGACCGCCTAGTCGAGCCCATTATCACGTGCATAACATTAATAAAACCAACAATGTTAGTCACGCATTTTCTATTCTAATGTTTTAGCATTGCTCTCTATCAATTAGGTGGCGTGCCTTTTCCCCTGTACTTCCCCTTTCAAAGTGGAAAGCGAAGAACGACGGGCAACAGATAATTACGGGTGGATACTTATCCTGAAGCACGTAATTCACAGTGCCGTCGCCGCGTCCTTTTATTCGGCGCGTTTCTTCCTGCACGCTTCCCGAAGAATGGTTTAGGATGGCGCGAGGTGATGCAAGAGAAGAAGAAGAAGAAAAGAACGGACGACCGTGTGCCACGGCACGAAAACCGAGAATGAGCAACTCCTATCTTCCAATTGGCTGACGCGATATTATGCAACCTCAGAAACGAAAAGCGATAAATCGCTTTCGTCTCGTAAATCACCTCTCCGTTCCAACATTTCGGTCCGCCGCTTTCAAAGTATCTTCACAGTGCACACAGAAACACATACGTGCACACGTACATACCCCGTGCATACCCGTAAACGAGCTCGCGCGCGCGACCTCCCGCCGTGCCTTAAAGTTCGCGACAGAATTTCGAAGCGCGCGACACATAAAGGGAGCATTAAATCATGTAGCATTCCGTCCCGTCGAGGTGGCGTCGAATAACACACGCGAAGTGTAACGTTACGATTCTCTTATTCCTATATTTAGCTGGCAACCGTTTCAGATGCGCCGTCGCCCCTGGACTCCGCTCCATTGCTCATCCCTTATTAACTCCGATCGCGAGCTGCTCTCTCCGAACAGGCGCCGCTGCTCATTCTCTATTTATCGGATCAACATATGAAGTAACGAATAATTATCGAGTCATCGGAGAGGCAGCCTCGAATTAAATATGCACGACCGCATCGACCCGTCCTGATTGCGTTCGAAGTATCCTCTCTCTCTCTCTCTCTCTCTCTCGAGCCCGTGCAACGGGATTTTGCGGCGAAATACTATCGATCGACCGAAGAATCGGATTCGAGGGCCGCGGTTGGCGCCCATGTTGATGACGCGTTGTATCTCGCGTGACATTTGCAAGGTGCGACATCACAATCGGTTTGCGTGCCGCACGTCGGTCGACCCGAGCGTCCCAAGTGCGCCTTCCAAATTTAACACGCGGGTCACATGCCGATGTGACACGCACGCTTTTCACCGTCCGCGAGATATACGCGCGCGCGCGTTGACAAACGCGCGGACTGCCGCGGCACACGGCTAAGTAATGCTATTATTTGCGGGGCCGAAAGGCGCGGGGAATTGTTGTTACTTGGGCGGAAAGGCGACCGATTTATTTTCGGATCGGCCGGCCGCGATAGTCGGCGAATTGCGAAAAGGCATTCTGCGAGCGGACGAGCGGCAATCAACGGGCGCGTTAGGCTGGATTCGCACCAGTCTAGACGCCGGGAGGCAAGCGTCCGTCAATCCCCCGTCACAACACTTTCCAACGCTTAATGGCTCGGATACAATAAAAGGAGAATAAGAAACAAAGAATCGAATATAGGGAATTGAGAGCGGGAAATTAAATGTCGAACAACCATGCTTCAATCCATAATAAAGAAACGGAGAACTAGGATTCAAAACACCGTCGAAATTCGATCCCATCACCGGGGGAAAAAGTGTTGCCGTTCAAGCGATATTTGCTCGATCCAAGTAAAATGGTTACTCCTTGGCGAGTATTTAGTAGAGGTAGAAATACAATCGACTGTATACAATGTATATGTGGTATTTCCTTCCTATGAGTAGACATTTACTTGTGCGTGTGAAAATAATTGCGACAAGTGTTAAATTCATAATATCGAGAGTATCAGAATGACGCGCGCCGACGACGATTGAACGACGATGCGTGCGCGTCTATCACTTGCGAAATTTGCTTTATTTACCGCTCGCGCGCGCACGATCTTCGCGAGTTGGTACCTCGAGCAATTAACCGAAATTCAGCGTGCCAACGTCGCACGGGTGTTAATTCTCTCATCATTTCGACGTGTTTTGATACGGTCGCGCGAATAGGAAATATACGCGAGTTAATTGTAACCGTCGACCGCGGGAAAGCCTGCCGGGCGATTGTTACAGCACGCGCGCGATTGTTTCAACCGGACATTTTCCACCGGCGGTATCGTCGGTGAGCAATGTTTGACCATAAACTTGGCGAAATTGAGAAAGCAAATTGTAAATTATTTTATAGCGAATTTCGGCAAATTTTCCACCGCCATCGCCGCCCACCACCACCGCCGAGTTTATATAGGTGGTTCTATATATAATTGAATAATATTGACTCTCTGCACCGACGCGCGATGCCGTAATCGACGTTGACGCACGTGCGTTCGATATTTTCCGTCTAATTTTCCCCGGTGTTTATTTTACCGATTCTAAATTCCAAGCGAATTATACGCGACGCTCGCGGGACGTGTACACGGGAGTTGCGTTTTCGTTAGGTCCCTCCGTTACGCTTTGCCTTTTTGGCACGCTGTTTGATGCTCACAGAGACTCCCGGGACGTGATACACGTATATATGTCCGTATATTTCTCTCACATATATTTCTATATATAGTTCTACATTATAACCGGATAATATTGACTCTCCACTCCCTCGCGCGCAATCGATGCGTTTACCGAGCGTGATTCTATATTCGTACGCGCCGTTCGATCCGACCGTTTATTTCTCCACTTGGCGACCTGAGTGACGAGAGGAATTTTTTTCACCGACGACTTTGATTGCACTCCTCCTTATATACGCGCGTCAATGCACGCGCGGTTCCGCAAAAAAAAAAAAAGAAGAAAAAATGAAAGGAGAATGAAGGTATCTGCGAGTGCAGCGAAGGTCGCATGAATTCGCGATCTACGCGTGATAATAACACCTGTAAAGCTGCGGCGTTACGGCTTCGGTGTGCATAATTTGCGCATGGAACGGCGTCAGCAGTTCATACAATGTACGTCATATTATGCACTCAGACCGCCGCGTAATCTAATTAATATATAAGTGAACATAATCGTTTCGGGGTCTGCCCCCGTTGATTCGCAGCGACCGAGCATAACGGGGAAACAGCGGCGAGAGCGCGTGCGAGCGAGCGAGCGAGCGAGCGAGCGAGAGAGAGAGAGAGAGAGAGAGCATCTGGCTTCACGGTAACTATCATTCCACGTTTCGAAGCGAAACGAACCACTTCCGAGGGGATTTCGCCGGCTCGGCTAAATTTATGGTAACGACATTCTAACGAAATCAACGAGTCCGCCGTGGGAATTCACCGACGATCGACTTTTACGTAATGAATCATCGGTGCGCGTGATTAGGCTTCGGCAAAAAGCCCGAGCGTCGTTTCGATCGTATCAATTTGTCGTTTGGGACCGTTTCTCGCGGCTTCCGTACACGCGGCCCTTCGAGGAGTTCACCCGAGAGTTTGAAGACTCGACTCAGGCGAGAGGGAAACTGCATTGATCAGGAGACACTTCCCCCACTGATACACTGTCACGAAACGATTAATGATTATTACTTTGTAACGTTATTATATTTCTCGTTGGTCCCTCCTTCAATCGACGATCAGTTCGATGAAATCGCGCCCCTTTGTCGGGAATCGATACAAATACACGCGTGCGCACGCACGCACATACACAC